GAGGGAGAGAGGAGAGGGAGAAGAGAGAGAAAAGGAGGGAGGGAGAGAGAGAGAGAAAGAAGGAGGGAGAGGGGGAAGAGGGAGAGAAAAAGAGAGAAGAAGAAGAAAAGCAGAGAAGGAGGAAGGATAGGGAGAAAAGGAGGGAGGGAGGGAGGGAGACAGACAGAGAGAGAAAAGTAGAGAGAGAGAGGGGGGAGGGAAGGAAGGGGAAGAGAGAGAGCTACAGATATCCATATCTAGATCCAAGGCAGTAGTGTGGGTTCTCAGAAAGGGAGCTTTCCCTAAGGCTCAGACTTGTTCTTCATCCTTTGGACTACAGTGACCTGTTTGGCGGCACTGCATACATCCTCAGGTACTGACGATAGGCCCAGTGATGTCATTTCCATACACGGTTCCATCCATGGGTGGAGGTGGGGGTGGGTCTGAGCCCAGTATTTTCAGCCAACACCCTGCCAGGATGTTTTTTGGATACTGGTCTATCCAGCACTTTATTGGGACCTTTGGAGCCTAAAGATGAAACAGCAGGAATAGGCCTGTTGACCACTGGATGCTTTAACTTCCTCCTCTTGGTCTGGAGTCTTAAGAAGCTTAGGGAAAGGAACTGGGACATCAGGGCCTTTGGGATGTGCTGAAGCTTGTTTTTACTTCTTTCTTTCTTGTTTCGGAGCATGTTGTCTCTCCAAAATTTCCCAGGGCCTCAATAGGTGCTACCTTATCTTTTCGCTGAGCCCTCTAGCCCACCTGGAGACTGCCAGAGTATCCCAGGGTATATCGCCTAGTGTATAGCACTTAACACAGTGCCCAGCACATAGTAGGTGCTTAATACATGTTTAGTGACTGACGGTTGCAAATAATTCAGTCTTTGAGCTGGAAGATGGTACATGTCTGGGCACATGTGGCACACTAGAGCTCCTTGGCATCCTCTGACCTTTCCAAAGAAGGAGAATCTCCAAGTGGTCAAAGGCACCTCCAGGGAACCAATTCAACTCAAATCAATTCAATTCAACAAACATTTGCTAAATGTTTCTGAGGTGCCAGGCACTGTGCTAACCACTGAGAGAACAGAGACAAAAATAAAATCAGCCTTCCCTTCTGCATTTCTGGCTGCAGCACTTAATACATGCTCATGTCAATTCCACTATTCTTCCCCATCTAATTTTATTTTAGGTTCCCTCCTCACTATAGCGTTCCCCAGTGGTGTAGCACAGTGCTTGGCACATAGAGGGGATTTAATAGATGCGTTTTGTAAATGTTCAATGTGAAGGAAACTGCCCGCCTGCCGAGTTAAGTTGTGCAGAGCCAGGAGCCCTCCTTAAGTGGTCTGTTGATGCTAACTCGTTCCTGGGGATGCATGATTTATTCTCAATGTGGCATTATTGACCTGATTCTAGGGTCATGTTTGCACAGAGGGATGCCAGGATCATTTCAGGGACCACAAACTGCCAATCTACCACTTCTCTCCTGCATCGTCGTAACTTCCTGGCTAATGCTTTCAGAGCTGGGACAAGGCACATCTGCCAGATCTAATTTAGACTTTTGTGTGTCTCACAGAAAGGCTCCTCAGAGACAAAAGCATTCTTTATCAGGGCCCCAGGCCCCTCTGGGGATGGGACATGGCTTTTCTTGCAGTTCTGTGCCAGGGTGTTATCCAGATGGATTTACCTCCTGTCTGAAACAAGGTGTACAAGCATTTCAGAGGCCCTCATTACCTACAACCTTGTTTTTACTGCTGGCTTGTTTTGTCTAGACAGGACCGATTGCTGCAAGGGATCTGGCGAACGGCATCTCTGGAATACATTTAGTAGACCTGCTGTCTACAAAGCAAACCAAAACGCCAGCAGCAAGCTTAGCCAAACTTATCTTGGGGGCCTTTTGGCTCTTTGTCTCAATTGTCAAACCTCTGGTTTTTTCCAGGAGTTCAGTGTGTGGAGGTGGGGGTTCCATTCCCCAAAAAAGTGGAATACATTTTTCTTTGAGGAAGATGCCTTCCTGAAAGCTGACGGTTTTCCTGAGCTCAGGAGGAGTCAGGTCAAATTACTGAATCACTTACCTACAGAGGACTCCACACCAAGACTGCCTTGCTCATTGGGGACCCCAAGAACTTTCAGTTAAAAGTAAAGAAGTAGAATGTAAATATGGGGCACTTCCCCCAAAAGGAGAAAGAGAATGCAGTTTTTCTAGGAGTTGCTTGCAGCATGACATGGGGACCCAAATGACCACTGAGGTGATTTTGGGCAAGTCTCCCCTCTGCACCTCAGTTTCCTCTTCTGTAAATTGAAGGGGTTGGATGAAATTACCTTTGAGGTTTCTTTCAGCTCCCGTGAGCTTAAGAAGGGTGGAACCCTGGACGCTCTAAGTTGAACACAGTCATACACATACATGTACACACAGACTCTCTCATTTATTCCCCCCGAACATCACCTTTCCCCACTGCCTAGCTGTTCTCTCAGGGGAGAATGATGCCCACTTGGCTTCCTGATCTTTCTTTTCCTTCTTTCCAGGCTCAGCTTGTGTCACCTCCTACGTGAAGTCTTTCTTGATTTTTCCAGTGATTGGTGCCTCTGCTGCCCCTTGAAATTTCTCTGTGTTCATTTTGTACAGATTTTGTACATATTTATATTTAGCTGTATATGCATTATTTTCTTACAGTATTATGTAAGCTCCTTGAGGGCAGGAGCAGTTTTATTTTTAGTTTGAGTGCATGGTGCCTAGCACATAGTAGACACTTAATATGCATCAGTTGAAGAAGTCATCTCTCAAGCCTAATCATCTTTGCCCTTAGTGTTCCTTGTGGAGTCCTAAAGGATGGGGTCCTTTGGCACTTGGGTCCTAACCATAGTCTTCTCAAAGGCAGCTAGTTCATAGGATCTTATCTACAGAGATAGGGCCTTTAGGGGCCCTCTACACCACCTCCCTTATTTTACAGATGAAGAAACCGGGGTCAGAAAAGTTACATGATTTGCCTAATGTCACACAGGTAGCAAGTAGCAAAGGAAGATTTGAACTGGGGTCCTCTGACTCCAAGGCCACTACTCTTTCCTCTGAATCATATTGCCTATCTTAACTGAGGCAGGATTCAGGCCCCTGTTTTCCTGAGTCCAGCACTGTCTGCTGTGCCAACTCGCTGCCTCTAGGGCAGCAGTCCTTAAGCCTTGTGGCCCCTTGTTTTGAAATGAAAACATTCTGTCCCCACTTGCCATCTCTTAGATTTCCATTTCCACTGAAGGAACCCAGGAAGAGCTGGGGGATGGTTTTTCAGGGCACCCTTGGGAGGAGCTGTAACAGTAGGTGATTCTGTCACCTCTGGGCAGACCAGAACACACATACACACACACACCACAGATGCTGGGGTCACCAATGAATCATTGAGTCCTGAGATGGGTCATCTAGCTAAGAGGAGAGATGCTTCCAAGTTGTGGGCCGTCTGAATCTGAACCAGGAAATCTGTGGAGATCTTTAGCAGGGTCAGGCTAGATGCCAAAATGTGAGCTGATTCAAGAACAAAGCAGGATGTGGGTATGTTATATTCTGTTTATCTCCCAGGTGAATTGGCCAATCAGCGAGCATTTATTATGCACTTACTATATGCATGGCACTGTATATGGGGGAGTCACAGACAAAGATGAAATAATCTCTTCCTCCCTCAACAAGCTTCTATTCTGTCTGTTAGAGGTTCTGTAGGTTAGATTTAGAACATTTACAGAGGCTTAGGTGGAAACATCAGGAACATGAGATTTTCTGGTTATTCTTGACCCCTGAAGGCTAGAAACTTGGGGCAACGGATTCCAACTCCTCTGGGCCTCTGTTCCCTGACTTTAAGATGACGGGGTTGTACGAGACGACTTCTAAGTCCCCTTCTGGCTCTAAATTCTATGGTACTGTAATTTCTCCTTTCCCAATTGCATCCCTGAGGGATGTTGAGTTCTTCCTATAATGAGGAGCCATGTTGTTTCCCTTATTTTTAAAATAGATTTCTTCATAAAGCATACCACAAAAAAAGCTTTACAGTGTGGTACGGCAGGGATAGGGTAGAGACAAAAAGAGAATGTTCTTCAAAACATTCTGGCTATAGGACTTTGGACAGACAAGTCATTATACTTCTCCCAGAGTCCCCAGGAAACTCTCTAAGACTGTAAATTGCAAATTTGTATCAGTGGAAGGATTTTTCCACACTGGGAATTTCCCACTAATGAAATTGCAGATTTGAATATTTTTATTATCATCTGCATTTCTTGTAGGATGAGATAGGAGACAGAGCATTTTATATCTATGAAGTTTCTCAGTAAGGAGAAAGAATCTTCCAAATAACCCCTATGAGGTTGGATAGATGGATGCATGGATAGGTGGATAGATGAGTAGATGAGTAGAAGGATACGTCATGTATATTCTGGTACAGATAAGCAGAAAGGTGACAAGTATGGAGTCTGAAAGTGGGAAGAGCTGCCTGTTTGCATCCTTAGGGGCCCCAGGACCCTCTCCCACAATGCTAATCCTTCAGCTCAACAGGGGTCCATCCTCCTAGGAAAGTGGTGTGTTCTAAAAGCTTCTCGAATTGGTCCCTGGCCACAGAGTTCCTGCACCTAGGGGAATGATTGACAGCTGTGAATCCCAAGCCTCTCTGAACACCCAGGCAGGAGGTCCTTCTGCTGAATACCATGACAGCTTGCATGGGTGAGGTGCAGAGAGTGCCTGGTTGTGTGCATACTGATGGGATGCTGCATCTATTTTAAAAGTCAGCTTTGGATGTGTTGACAGTCTTATTTCTCTGTCACATTCCTATAGTTGGACCGCAGACTGGAATGGAAAGACTCGTGCCCAGGCAGGATTCCTTTGCGTCATGGATGCAGCAGACTTTGTTTAAAGCTCCTGGGTCAGTCCCATCTTAGGTCCTGCCTCCTCCTGGTTTTCTCCTCTTGGTACCTTCTCCTCTTCTTTTGCTCAGATTTGCTTCTCATCTTAGTCTTATTTTATTTTGTATGTCTTTTTTTTCTTCCTCTTAGAAATTCCGGGTAGATATGCCAGGATCTGGCAGTGCCTTCATCCCCACAATCAATGCCATTACCACCAGCCAGGATCTTCAGTGGATGGTACAGCCCACAGTCATCACCTCCATGTCGAATCCGTACACCCGCTCCCACCCCTACAGCCCACTGCCCGGCCTTGCCTCAGTCCCGGGACACATGACTCTTGCAAGACCCGGGGTGATCAAAACCATCGGCACCACCGTGGGCAGGAGAAGGAGAGATGAGCAGGTAAAACATGGACTTGGGAAACCTTGTCAGGGTGGGTATTTTTCTTTGGAGATGGAGAAGATGGGGCTGGGAGACCTACAGCTTACTAGCAGAGTTCTTGACTAGTGTGGATAGAGCATTGAACTTGGAGTCAAGAAAATTTGGGTTCCAATCTAGCCTCAGCCACTTATTCGCTGTGAGACCCTGGGCAAGTCACTCCGTTTCAAACCAGCTGTGGTTTCTTTGTCTGTAAAATGGAGCAAAAATCACAGATTTGGATATCATTGTTATTGTTGTTGTTCTTCTTCTTCTTATTATTATCCCATATTAATTTCTTGGAGGATGAGACAGGAGAAGAGCAGTTTATACTTAAGATGTTGTCAGCAGTGCCTTCGTTAGAATGGAAAGAGCACCAGTTCTAGAGTCAGACGGCTCTGTCTCTGATGCTTCCTGTTTGTCCTTGGGTAATCTCCCTGGGCCTTACCTTCCTCATTTATAAAATCAAGGGATTAGAGCGGATGACCTCTGAGGTCATAAGATCATAGACTTTGAGATGGAGGAGACTCCAGGGGCTCTGTAGACCAAACCATTAATTTTACAGTTGAGGAAACTGAGGCCTGAGGAAGTTAGTTGACTTGCCCGAAGTCACACAGATGGTCATTGTCAGAGATGGGATTTTACCCTCATCCTCTGACTCTCTGGCCTGTGAGGCTGTGATCTGCCCCACAGAGGCAGGGAGCCGGTGGTCATGCGGTTGGAAGCCGTCCCAGCAGGTCCTCTTTCTTCTTGGAGTGGCATGGCTTCAGCATCCCAGGAGGATGGCAGCAACCATTAGAAGGATGATGTAGAGCAGGGGCTCCACGGCTGTGACTCTGAGGGGTACCCAGGACTTGTTAAATGATTGGCGCGTCCACCTAGGGGAGCCGGTGTTTGTTAGAGGGGCTGGCCGGCCTTCGAGGTTGGTGTCTCAGTCGGACCGGGCTTGGTGAGTATGCAGAGGGCAGAGCCCTGCAGTGTCTCCACACCCCTGGAGGATCCAGGGAATGGTCCACATTCCAAAGGAAAAGGAAGCACAGGTTGAGGGCACGAGTTTAACACATTGTTTACCAGGGTCCAGACTTGAATCTGCTACAGTGACCAATGGATGGAAGGGGCCTGAAAGGTCAACCAGTCTCCTTCCCTGTTATTTTATGTGTAAAGAAAAGGAGGCCTGGGGCAGCTTGGTGGTGCAGTGGATAGAGCTCTGGCCTTAGAGTCAGGAGGACCTGAGTTCAAATCCAGCCTCAGACTTTTACTAGCTGTGTAACCCTGGGCAAGTCACTTAACCCTGATTGCCTCATCAAAAAAAAAAAAAGAAAGAAAGAAAGTGGGGCCCACTGAGGGGAAGTGGCTTGCCTGAGGAGATACAGGTAGTGTCAGGGTAGGGATTTGATCCTTCTCCACCCCCCCCGCCCCATTCCTCTCTTTCCACTGCTGAATGTTCTAATAGTATTCAGAGTAAAATATGACTGAGAAGTGCACTGGCTCTGGAGTTTGGAGTCAAATTTCGCCTTTAAAATTTACTACTCTTTTGACCTTGAGTAAGTCACTTAACCTCAGGGGGCCTCAGTTTTCCCATCTGTAGAATGATGCCTTTAGACTAGCTGGTCTTTGAGGTACCTTCTAGCTCTGAATATATGATGTTATGATGAAAGAAATTTTTTTTTTCAATTCAATTCATTCCAGAGGCAATATGGCATAGTGAATACTATTAGACATGGCCATAGGACTCAGTCCAATCTAGCTTCCCATTAGCTGTATGTAACTCTGACCAACTCTCCTAATCTCTTTGATCCTCAGTTTCCTCATTTCTAAAAAGGGGCTCAAATAGTGTCTACCTGACAGGGTTGTTGTGAAGATCAAGTGAGAAAATGTATGTATAAAGGAAGT